CTCCTCCTCCTCCTCCTCCTCCTCCTTCTCCTTCTTGTCGACTGTACCCTATCTTCTACCCTTCAATCTATGGTACCATAATGCCCAAGGCAGTGTATACTCTTTCCCTTCTCTATACTCTTTTCTACCATTGAACTATCCCACCTACTTTACTTCTAGTCAGCAAGCAATCAATCTATACTAGTATTGTCTTCCATTACATCACCTAATAGTAGATCCTCCTCCTCAAAACTACATATCATCCGAATACAACTCATCACACAATCCGAACCAATCATACCCTTCTCTTCCCCCAAACAAACACGTAGTACCAGTACCAATACAGTACTCCACCCCACAAACATCCACCCTAGAATTGAAAAACCCTCTAAATCTAAATCACTACTGATAACCCCATCCGCCTAACCCAAATCAGATCAGATCAGATCCGCACGTAAATTAAATCATAAATATATATATATATATATATAAATATTTCCGTGCTGAAGAAAAAGCTCACATGAACTAAGGAGCTAGCTAGCTAATTGGTAGGACTTTATTACTGTTTTGTCATTGAGATAGGTAGATGCCGGTAGATCGGGGGCGTGGATGGTCTGGTTTGATCTGGTTTGGATGTTCGATGTATGTATATAGTCCGTAGGCATAAGTAAGGGAGTGATGATGTACTATACCAAGTTGACTGTTACTATCTATAGTTGCAAGTGCATTGTAATCGATGATTTCAATCATGGCAGCAATGAACTCGAACCGAAACAAAGTATTACTACTGATCATCATTCCTCATATTTCCCATTGATTATGAATAAGAAAAGATCCAACATCATTCATAAAGTGATAACATCCCGTTCTATACATCAACATCACCCCATCATACCTATATACCACTACCTAGACGCAAACCCACGATACTCGCCTGCCATCGTTACCGTTGAAAAAACGCCTCCTTCCCACGACTCATAGTGGTCTGGTCAATTGCTCCCATACCCACGACCGCGCTTCCCGATACACCAATTCCCAGACACTCTTAGTCTCCGACGCACGGCACTCTAGGTATCCCATTACCAGGATGGTGGCGAGCATGTTGGCCTCGTCGTCACCGTGGGGGAAGTCTGTGGCGGTGGGCTCGATTACCTAGGTAAGCAATCCCTAAACCTCCCCAGCCACATGCGTCTCGGTGAACTGATACTGGCCGAACTGACGGGTGGGCACCTTCTCCTGAAACATCCAATCCAGTTCCTCAAAGGTGCGGCCCTTGGTCTCCGGCAGAAAGAAATAGCACCACAGCGTGTCCAAGACCCCAATGCCAGCAAACAGAAACCCGACCTTGCCCCCCCAGTTGGCACCGGTGGTATCCAGCGCATACGGAATGGCCACGGCGAAGATGACAGACCAGATCACCACCGTGATGTTGGACAGGGCGATCGTCACTCCTCTCAGGCGGACCGAGGACACCTCGGACATGACGGTGAAACAGAGCGGCCCGACGGACATGTCGTATACGAGATTGCACACCACCATGAGGGCAGACATGGCCCAGACGGGCCCGGAAGCATGCTGGGGCACGGCCGCCAACACCCCAATGAGGAATAGCAGCAGGGTCATGACGATCGAGCCCCACAGGTAGATGGTGCGCCGGCCGGCGTACGAGATGAGGACATACGAGGCTAGCGTACCGACGAGGCCCATGCATGTCAGACCCACATTCATCGAGAAGGCGTTGGAGGTATTCAGGCCGGCGATCTCGAAAAAGTAGACGGCATAGTTGATGAAGAGGATATTGCCGCAGAGCGCCTGGATGTTGTAGACCTGGCACGAAATGATCGTACGGCGCAAATTGGTCCCGCGGAAGCAGTCCAGAATGCTGATGGTGTCTTTGGAGCTCTCTTCCAGCCGGAGTGTTTCCCGGATATGAGCGAGATGCGCGTCAACATCGACAGTGGACGTAGTCAGACGCTGGAGGGATTTGCGCGCGTCCTTCGGCCGGCCATGTTTACAGAGCCAATATGGGGGTGTCGGACAGAAGTAGATGAACGAGAGGATGAAGACGGGTAGAACCCATTGCGAGGCGAAGGGAATCTTGTACGCCCACTTAGTGTCCATGGTGCTGGTTCCCTTGAGCATCCCTGACGCCACTAGCTGGCCAATGACAAAGGACAAATTGATCACAGCGGACAGGACACCACGCGCAGCGACCGGTGCGACCTCGCTGACATAGGCATTGGCGAGAACGGGATAGGCGCCTGTGATGAACCCGTTGAGCATCTCACCGACAAAAAGAAGTGCTGGCCCTTCACTGAAAAATTGTAGAAAGATGGAACCGATCGAACCAATCGACGCCGCTGCGAGGGTCACCCGTGGACCAGCCTTGTCGTAGGCAATTCCTGCAATCAGCGAGCCCGGCACGCTGCCTATATATGACGCATAGTTAAAGGCTGACAGCCAGGAGGGAGCAACCGCGTACTGCCCGTCCACCAGTCTGCCATAGGTGCGAACAAACGGGGTCAGGCCAACAAGACTGCCGATCAAGGCACCGTCAAAGCCACACAGAATGACCGCCAGATTGACAAAACAAGACCACAGCAGCGCAGGACGATAGAATTGACAGGCCTTCCAGAACCCCAGACCATGCTCGAACCTGGCGTGGGCCAGGGACTTTTCTGCATCATTGATCCGTTCGGCATCGATCACCTCCACAGACCCAGGTTGTTTCACGATATCATCCGGGGTCTCCACACTGGATCTCTTCTGTTTGAAAGACATTATGGATTAGAGTCAACGCAAAGATTAAGTCAAAGGAGCTTATTCAAGATAGACCACTCACCCCTGGACACGAGCCGGTACTTTATAGTACCTCAACCCTCGTTTATCGGATTGCTGTATCTCGAGGTCAAGACAGACTGGTCAAAGACACCCCGAAGAGCAGCACCCGGCAGATAACGAGCCAAGTGCCAACTGGTATCCCGGCCATTATCTGGAGGAGGAGTAGTAATGAAGGAAGAAGGAAGGTCCACGCAGACAGACGGCAGACCGTCTGACAGGCGATTGGTCGGGTCTCCTGCCGTCACTCGGCCATTCCCAAGACGGAAAGCGTACCGGCTCCTTGGCTTATCGTGCGCCCGCCAGTGATTCTCCCAACTCCATCCGCTGATAACTATATAGATCGCTTCGGTCATCTCAGAGTAGTCCAGTAAGTGCCCTGGATTGCTCATCTGCTTTTCTCCTTCAATTGCCACCAACCGACTAACGCCATGACGACCCCGCAGTTGGTCCAGATCACCCTGTCGGACGATGAACGCGCCACCAAGAAACTCTCCTCCCACAACCTCCAAGCAGCCCTGGAAGGTCTTCATCGAGATGGCGTGTGTGTTATCACCAACGGTGTTCATCCGGTCCATCTCGACAAACTAAACGAACGCATGGTCCCCGAGGCTAAAACCCTATATGCCAACCCGCAAACCTACCGCAACTTTGGTTCCCGCACGGGCAACATCCAGCAGGAGCCGGTCGTGGACCCCGAGTACATGTTTGAAGATATCATTGCCAACCCATGGGCCACTGCCATCACCGAATGCATGCTGGGGCCGAACCCACACCTGCGCTTCTACAGCGCGAACACTGCCTTCAAAGCCGAGGACCGACAACCGGTGCACGTCGACGTGCATTTTGACTTTCCCAAGATCCCCTTTGGCTTCTGCATCAACATCAACCTCGTGGCTACCTCGCCCGAGAACGGTGCGACCGAGCTCTGGCCCGGTAGTCACCGGGACGCTGATCATAGGGATAGCGATAACATCGGGGTGATATCGGACCTGGTCGAAGCCCGCCGCAAGATCTCTCCCCCGGTACAGCCATCTCTGCCTAAGGGAGCCGTGATCGTTCGAGATTTCAGACTGTGGCATGCCGGCATGCCAAATCACACCGACGACCCCCGTGTCATGCTAGTGACGATTCACTTCCCGGCGTGGTATCGCACCGACCAAAAGTTTGTGCTACCCCGGAGTATGCAGGGAAAGGTTGACTGGGGACATTTGGTGCCGTGTGTGGAGTGGGTGGATGAAGACTATGATTATTTGCAGGGCAAACATGACCATGACTTTACTTTGCTGCCGTAACTGGCACCCACTTATCCAATATCTATCATAATCTGCAATGTCTCTGGCATTTCACGGCTAGGACCCGCTCCAACTAGCGCAGCGGTAGACCATCCCAATCAATACCTCCCGACAAGTAGTGTCTACTAACTAGTACCTTACACTCATCACAAACTCTATCGTATGAACCACCATCCCAATCTCACCAATGACAACAACTTATCCCCAAACACCTCCCCGCATTAGTATTACCTCCAGACGGAGTTACGACTAGGTATTAGGGATCCGGCAAGTCCGGGCAAACCGGGGTTCGTGGACCGGTAATACTCCAGAAAGATAAGATAGTAATTGGTCGCGGGGATATTATCTCGCGGTGTGAGGAAGTCACTACATATTCTTTTGCTGGTGTTGAATATGAGCCGAGGCTTCTGGTCTGGGCTGAACGGTAGACTGATCGGTATAGAATATATATATATATATATGGCTAGGGAGTAACTGTAGTATTCTGGTTTATTTGGGTTTTATTTGGGTCTTGGCTATTCTAGGTTGCTAGTTGGCATAGTTGAAGTTATTTACTTGGTTATAGAGGGGGGGCATGGTTGGGTATCTAGATTTAGAGGTGCGGGTTTGTTTGGGTGGTTGTTATCGATGAGAGGAAGGAAAGTAGGATTTGAGGATAGTTTGGTGTTTCATAGTAATTGTGATGTAAGGGCATTTCGTCGAGTTTTTGGTTTATAGATTGGGGATCAGAATAGAGACAGAGCCTTGGGAGTGAAAATGGTCTATGTGTTGGTGGAAGCAAACGGCTATAACTCAAAACGAATTATAAGCACAATCAATAACCAGGATATTATAAGGTGTACAGTTAGACTCTTCGAACAAACTCTGCCGCCGCTTCCATCATCTTAGTCTGTTCCTCTGGCCACCCCAGCATATGTCCCATCATATAAATGTCGTGCGGCACGTCTGGGACCTCGAGATACTCGATCCGATTACCCGGAACGGCGCGCATTGCGTCCACGAATCTCCTCACACTGTCACACAGGATTTCCGCGCCCCCCACCTGAGTGAAAATTGGAACCGGCGTCGCGAATGGATGCAGCGATGGCGAGAGGTAGGGATCATCCAGACGGACCGTCTCCGGCGGTGCAAAGGCCCGCGCTCCCCATGCTGCCATCTGTCCGTCGCAATAGTCGGTCGATTGATTTCGATCGGTGTTGACAGCCTGCGAGTCGCCTTCGTAGCTGTACTCTACGGATGGTGAAAATAAGAGGCATGCCCTGGGCGGTGGCAGCTCGGCAAGGACATGACCGGCTTTGTCCTGGAACGAGGCGAGATGGCGCAGGAGAGCCATGGCCATGGTGGACCCCGAAGAATCACCTGCCAGCACGATGCGAGACGGGGAGATGCCCAAATCTTGGACAAGGTAGAGATATGCGGTGATGGTGTCTTGCATGGGCCCGGGATACGGGGTGGGATTGTTGCCGCCCGCGAGACGGTACTGCACCCACAGCGACCGGGCACCGGCACCCAGCTTCGTGTTCAGCAGGTCGGCTGTGAACCCCGAGTCGTCAGGTTGGCCAGTCAGCCATAGAAAAGCGCTGCCATGGAACGAAAGAACCACCAGACTCTTGTCGTCGTCTTCCTCGTCATCATTCTTGACCAACTGTGGCGATGCCTTGAGCGGAGGATCAGGATACCATGTCGCACCGATCGCCTCGGGCTTGATGGTATCACTAGCAAAGGCACCACCATAGCAGTCGGCGGAGGCGGGACTCATGACCACCCAGCGGTCGCCCAGCTTGCCGGCATCGAGACTCAGAGACTGTGTGAAGCCGACTTCACGGATGACGGTCATAGCTATCTTTGTCAGCCGGGTGGTGAATGCCTGACGATAGGTCCATGTCGAGCTCTGTCGAAATGAGGGTAGAATATAGTAGATGCTATAGAAGAAAGCGAGCAGCGGGACGCGAATGACTGAGACAAGCAACCAGATGGTCAGGCCGGGCTGTCGGGTCCGCCAGTCGTTAGGGATGGCATCTTCCTCTGCAAATGCGCGTGCCATCATAGGCGCCAAATAGTGTTCAGACCTGTGTATGTACAAGTTCAGGAGAAGCGAGGATGAGGAAGGCTGTCCGTTATAACCGATGGATAAGCGGATCTCGCAGTGAGCATCCCAGATAGGAAACCAGTGCGGCTGATCACCTGATTGGCCGGTGAGTCCGGTGGGGGGAGGCTAAGCTCCCGCTCCGCCTCAGGCGTCCCCACTCGATTCTTACTAGGAACCACTTGGTAGAGAATGGCCCAACACGCGGGCCAGCTACAACTCATCTCCATACACCCACGTCAGATGATGACTGCTCGCACTGTGTCATACAACAGTTGGTAAGCCAAGCAATCCATAGAACCAAGGAGCCAGTGGCGACCACGATATCTGCTGCTTTGACAACGAAGCTTTCGGGCTTGCACCGCATTCTTATGCCTGATAATTCGAGGCATATGCGATACTTCCGATGATCATCGGACCAAGCTTTGCGGACTTACGCGGCTATGACAGCTGCCACCTATGCAAAAGACTTGCTTTGCGTGGTCGATCAGGCAGCTATGGAGCAAGCGTGCCCACGACTCAGGCTCTTCCAGTCGGTAGGTCGACGGGGCTTTTTTCTGAGCCGGCCTTACGGATTCTCTAAATGGGGTTAATCATGTCATATTCTATCCCATTGGTTGGCGCGAATGGTGTCGTCGCAAAGCCTTGTGGTAGCCGCCTGGACTGATCAGCCGCACCCCTCTTCTCCGGAGCCCAAGCGGCTATTCTTCTCCAAAACCGGCGGCTCGGCCGTTCTTCCTCAATTCAATGCTTCAACTTGCTCGTTCAAATATCAATTCACTATGCGCGCCAGTTTGATATCGAAAACCTTGTCGCACGATGATTACAAGATCGGATGGATCTGCGCCTTACCGCTGGAGATGGCCGCAGCCCAGGCGCTCCTAGACGAAATCCACGAGGACCTGCCCGTTCAGCCCAATGACTACAATGCATATACTCTGGGAGCCATCGGCAAGCATAACATCGTCATCGCATGCTTGCCTAGTGGCGACTGCGGCAGTACATTCACCACCGTATCCATGCACTTGATGTCCAGTTTCCGCTCGATTCAATTTGGCCTGGTGGTTGGTATCGGGGGCGGAGTACCACGAGAGAAGGAAGATATCCGCCGTGGCGATATAGTCGTCAGCAAGCCAACAGGTACCCATGGCGGAGTGATCCAGTATAACTTTGGAAAAGCTTTGAGTGGCGGTGGATTTCAGCGCACGGGCATGCTCAACCGACCTCCCCAGATTTTTCTGACTGCGCTGTCTAAGTTGCAAACGCATCATCTCATGGGGCGTAAACTGTTCTTGGACTTTCTTTCGGAGATGGAGCAGTTGTCGAGCTTTACTCGGCCCCGTCGGAGTGATCAGTTATATTTGTCTGGTTATGATCACGTCGGTAGCAAGTCGACCAATTGCGATGCTTGTGATGCGATCAATACTGTTGTACGGCCTCCTCGAGACTGTCAGGACCCTGTAGTCCACTATGGAACAATTGTGTTCGTGAACCAAGCGAACGACAGCTGGCTGCGGGATAGGCTAGGTTCCGAGCTAGATGCCTATTGTGTGGAATCGGGAGAAGCGGGATTTATGAACAATTTCCCTTGCGTGATCATCCGGGGAATCGGCGATTATGCCGATTCACACAAGACCACGGATTGGCAAGGATATGCGGCAGCCGCTGCAGCCGCATATGCCAAAGAGCTCTTGCTGGCCTCGGTTACCCATGTCGAACAGACACAGCCTGTGCCGAAACCTCTGCCTGGTTCAGGTACGTATACCCAGGCCGCTCTATTGCTTGGTTTTCTTCGACTGACGGTTCCACTTAGAAGCCGCCACAATGGCACAAGTAAAAGAGCCATTGCAAATAACTGTTTCACCGGAAGCCATTGCCGCCCCAGCCCCAGCTGCATCATTCACCTACGACGAGCTAAGTGGCGTGTATCTCGGCACTATCCGAGGCTCAGAAATAATTCCAAGACTGATCAGAAACCCTGACCATTGGAGAAACGAGATCGGGGCGCTAATAGCGCAGCTGGTTGAGATTCACCCGGAATGGTGGATAGAGCGAACGGAAGAAGCTGCGCGTGTTATGAATGAATTCTTTGCTCGCTGCAGGCTCACTTACCGAGTTAATGTCTATCCCCGACTAAGCGAACGTCCCATTTACCATGGCAGTAATCGGGAGTATCTTAGTATCCTGTTCGATCATAATCTGGGATGGCAGACCAAGTCGGATCCCAATATTGGGCTGAATATTGGGATTTTGAATATATGGTCTATGCTGGAGTTTTTGGATAGACAGAGTTTATAGGGATGTGTTGGTGGGATTTCGAGGAGACTGATGAGACATCTTGAAGAAGTAACAAAATGCAGCAGCATCAAAATTATATCCCTTCATTCGGACATTGCATGCAGAATTCAGGGGAGTTGCTAGATAGAGAAGTGGCTGTGTTCCGCGGGACTTTCCAAGTGATTTACGTCTTACTTACGTCCTGCTTATTTTTTGCTTGTTTAGCATTGAAAGAGTTGTTATTTCAACAAGCGGGTCCCATAGCTCAGTTGGTTAGAGCGTAACGCTAATAACGTTAAAGTCGAGGGTTCGAGCCCCTCTGGGACCATCTTTTTGCTTTTTTACCCACATCTTTCTGGGATTCGATCCAGGCTAGCAAATAATTGATCTCAGTGATTGGTTTTTTTATTTATTACATGGGCTTCGTTGAAGCTAGTGGTGTGTGTATGTTGTCGCCAGGTTGTCTTTTTTGTTTGCGAGGGAGATAATGCCTTTTCTTTTCTCCTGGAGGTGTATCATTCTAGAGAGTACTGATACGTCTAGATACTATTGCTCCTATAGCTATGATTAAGTCACAAACTTTGAGAGCAGGCGTGAAATATATCCCTTGTGTCCCGGGAGAGAAATGTACTACCGTGGAAATGTTCATCAACATCGGGGAATAATCGCCGTCCATTTCTGTGCTACACTCATCCCAACATACTCACACCTCCACCCCCCCTGGCCGCTACATCCTCCTCCTCAACCACCACAATCTGCTGATACGCTCGTCCAGCGACATCCCGATACTTCGGCGTAAACCTCTCATCCCCCGCCACAAACGCAAACTGACGTTTCCACTCCCTCCAACGTTCCATAGTCCACATCTCCCGGGATCCCGACACCCTCTCATGCTTCTTACACTGCTCGTACGCATACCGACATTCATCGGGCCACATGACCCACTGCGCCGCTCCCAGCATGTAATTGCCTAGCTTATTCGGCCCATCGATGGGCCGGGTCGCTAAATTGGGATATTCCGGGTGTTCGGGAAGGATTTCGCGCAGGGAACTGAGAAATCCGCAGTCGATTAGGTTCGAGCTGGTTATGCGCGCTATGGCGGAGTTGAAGTTGCGCCAGCGGTAGGGGGCGAGGACATCTACGTCAACATGAACGTTAGATCAGAGCTGGTGGGTGGTTTGCTTGGAGTATGGTTAAGGCAAACGTACAAACATGCCAATAGTCAAAAGTCTCAGCTACTGCTTCCCAGTTTCCTTCAATTGGCCATAATGTTACCGTCCGGTACGGTTCATTGGGATCTTCGGGGGGAACCCCAGAGTAAAGATCGTGTCGTGGGATGACTTTCAGTTCTTTCAGGAAGTCGATGAGTCGGGTTTGGGCCGGGTGGTAAGGGAGAAAGGATGAACAAAGACGAGCAACTGCGTGGAAGAGCGGCTCGATCCATCGGCGCGGTCGTGGCATGATGCAATACATATCGGCGCCTTGGGCTTCTTCCTCTGGGGTGATATTTCGTGGGTCTGGCCGTTTGAGTAACTCCTCGTGCCTTCGATTCGTGTCGTTGGTGACGATGGTGTCGAGGTCGATGGCTGCTTAGTAGGGTGTGATGTCGCCGTTGACGAGAGATTCGAGCTTGTGTTTGATTATCAAGTCGTCTTCGTCGTCCCATTCGCCGTATAGCTTTAGAGGAAGGGGCCTGTCTTCGTACTCTTCGGAGTATTCGGGGTTCATGTTGAGGGTGGACATGGCGTTGGATTGGGTGGTGTGTCTAATGATTAGAGATCTGTGAGGGTCTTGGTGTCTCGAGATAGACCTTCGTGGGCAGGGATCGAGAGACAATAAATTACTCCATGGTTTATGTAAAGTGGGTTCTAGGTTGACATCCTTGAGGTGGCTCAGCCTTGCTTAGCACCTGGCGATATCATCACTCAGAGCCTGTCATGTCCTAAGATTAGCTTGGTATCATCGCTTCTAAGCCCAGAGGGCTATGGCTGACACGTGGTAAGACACTTAGCAAGACTCCATGGTTCAGCCACATCGCATTGGAGGGCGTTGATTATGTGCTGATGATCCACTTTCCCAGTTGTTTTTAAGTAGTGCTTACCGCAGCCCTGCGAGAAGCCGAGCTGTCCTAGTAAGCAGGTTAGTCAATGTTTTAATATTATTAAGGGGTGGATTTGAACCACCTTTTGGAATTTGTTGACACACTTGACTTGATCGAGTTAATCTATTGATCATTTGACTGCAAGTATTGTTGCCATGAAGGGATTATTTGTGCCGAACGAGGGACGTGATGGGGACCGTTTTCCTTTGTCGCGACAGCTGCTAGAAGGTCTCCGCTGGGACATTGTACTACACATCCTTTCTCGTATACCGGCGACAAAAAGATGAATTGATCAACATAGACGCGTGTTGTCCGAAGGACAGGGAAAAAAAGAAAAAGCAAAAAGATGGTCCCAGAGGGGCTCGAACCCTCGACTTTAACGTTATTAGCGTTACGCTCTAACCAACTGAGCTATGGGACCCGCTTGTTGAAAAAAACCAACTTATATTGCTAAATAATCTACTGTTAAGATTAAGCGTACGAAAGATGTTGGAGGTGGCAAGAGGCACCATCTTCTCACTGGAAAGATAGTATACAGTATGGTGAATGGGCGTTGGGTATTCTGAGTACTGACTGGCCTTATATTTCTTTACCGCCAATGAGAAAGTTCTGGCTTTACTGGTATGCAACTCTATGGTTTGTGGTGTTGGCTGGTTATTGCCAGGCTCAGTCAGTATATATTTTCGGGTGCCTACTGTAGGAGATATCGATTTAGGCCATGTGTACAATATCACCAAGGCTTAACATTAAATTTAATAACTATCGTCCTGACAATCTGCATCCCGATAAGTCTCTAAGCCTGTACATCAACTAGGATCTTGCAGTGGGCGTCCCGATTGTTCACCAGGGCCTGGAATCCTTTTTCCACAACTTCATCCAACTTGATTTTCGATGTGATCATCCTTTCGGGATTCAATTGCCCTAGATAACAGTTAGACTTGTCAATGTAGACCAAAAATCGCGTGACGTACCATAGCTGAGTGCCCGAATGACATTATCAAACGCGCTCTCATCATACAGCGCAGACCCCGTATAGTTGACTTCGCTATACATCAACTCGTTGACTTGCAGAGCCGGCCGTTTCTCCCACACAGCAATGTTGACTATCGTTCCATGTGTTCGACTCGCACGAATCGCTCCGTTAAGAGCTACCTCCACACCAGCCGTGTCAAAAATTACATCCGCACCCACGCCGTTGGTCAGTTCGCGGACCTTTGCGGCCACGTCCACCTCTCGTGGATCTAGAATATGCGTTGCTCCATACTCCGACGCGAACTTCTTCCTATTTTCTGTCAACTCTGCCACCATGACGTTTTTTGCCCCTTGTAACTTGAGCACTTGGACGACTCCGATCCCAACTGGTCCGCCTCCTAGCACTAAGACGCTGTCGTTTGGCTTGAACGGTGAGATGTTCACGGCGTGCCAAGCTACTGCTAATGGCTCGACTAAGGCTGCTGCCTCGAGGGATACATTTTTAGGAATCGAATAGAAGTGTTCTGCCGGTGCTACGATGTGTTTTGCTAGTCCACCGCCGTATCCTGCAAATCGGTTAGAATTCGTGCATGCCAATCATGCCGGAGTATGAGCTACCCGAAAGTCCGATGAAGCCAATATTCTCACAACAGTATTCATAGCCTAGTTTGCATGAAGGACATTTGCGGTCGAAGATGGTTGGTCGCACGACGGCTCGTTGTCCCGGAGAAATATCGGTTACACCCTCTCCTACTTCTTCGACGATTCCGCTGAATTCATGACCGAGGGTTACCGGGAGGCTGGCCCCGGTGATTCCGTGCGGTTTTTGGGGGACCAGAACAGGGCCTCCAGAGTATTCGTGTATGTCTTTTGAAATTAGTATGCAGAGACTCCACTGACAGCTGGTCTGAGCTTACCACTACCGCATATTCCAACAAAAGCAGGTCGCATCTATGATGGATTTTGTCAGTGCATACCATCGCAACCCGTAGTAGGGATAAGCACCTTCACCTGTCCTTTGCCACAGGTGGGCTCTTCGATCTCCTCAACCCTGATGTCGCCGCGACCGTGGAAGCGTACAGCTTTCATGACGGGCGCGGTTTTGAGGGTAGTTTGATAGGTGCTGATGGAGTCGGTTGCGGTGTTAAGCATCTTTGTATGCGAAAGTTTCTGTGTTTCGAAAGTACGAATTCTTTGTAATGCATTCGGAAGGATAGTAGCTCTAGAAACATTTGAATAGGACGGTCTGGCGAAAGCTCCGCTTTGTCTATTTGAATGCCATGGCTGTCGAGGAACATCTATTTGAAAGACGTTGCGATGACGTTGCTTAGACCTGAGATCTATAAAAAGTACGGATACAGATTAAGTTCGAGAGATCATGATGTATTCAGTGGTAGTTGGGTCTAGACAATGTAGGCCTGATTGGATCAACCGCGTGTCGTTCAGATAATCATTACACCATAGGTATGATGTTCCTTGTGTCGCATGGCGTTCCAATTGGGATTTCTCTTATAATAATAGAATCCCAGGACCACGGGCATCTGATTTGTCGGGATGGCGTCCGGCGTCTACTTTAAATTCAAAGTATTATTGAATGTGCCACGATCTCTAGTCGACCAAGCTTCATAGGCGGCGTGGCTTGATGTTTGGGGTGTCAAGTGCCGTTCCCAGATTGTGGGGATCTGGGCAGTGGCGTCACATCTGCCGACGAATGAAACCCTGGGTCTGGGTGATATCAAGTTCCGTCACGGATGACCCAACGGACTTTGTCCTTCTTCTGCCTCGGATTTAGCACCTCCTGGTCGGGGAAATATGCTGCACAGGTCCTCCAGAAAGAAGTCGACATACCCTGGATCCCAGCGATGTGTAGCCGCCAATTATCTGCCATACTCAATCCGCCATGTTGCGCCAAAGCCAACGGCGAGAATTGAATACTGTTTGATCAGGCCTCTTCTTCGCGCAATTGCTCGACAAATGCCCGCAAGATAGATTCTAGTCCCTCGTTGCGGCGAGCGAGTAGCATCACATCTGCGACATTGACGGTCGAACGCCCGGCATGCCTAAACAGGAAATACCGAGTGTCAGCCCGCACCAAGCCATCATCCGTCACTTGACAAACTGGCCCGGTAGACCGTAGCCACATCAGAACAAGGCAATCAGGCTCTGCTAATCAGAGGCCCGGTACTAGAGATTGTGACTTACTTAGCAAAAGACTCCAGATCTTGGCTGACCGTCTCTGTCCATCAGCCTTAGTCAGCGCCTGCTTACAGTGAACGAGAGGTGACGAAAGTGCAGTCGTCCAAGTTTTCGACATTGACATCGCCAATGGATGATTTTCATACCTATCTGAGCCCAGACCATTTCCGTCAAGGCTCCAATAAACTGAGGGGTGGCGTTGACACCAAGCTTAATGGTTTCCTCATCCACTATCTTCCCGATCGACAACCAGAGAGCGGACTTTAAGCGCTGCAGAGGCGACTTAGTACTGCCAGTGACCGCGGGTGAGTACGTACCTCCTCGAGGCTGATTTCTTCTCCCTGGTCCATTTCTGTGAAAGACAGGTGGATGTGTGAGTGTTGATTTTGATCGATTATGCGAACTGTGGTGTTTTCTTCCCTCGATGAATAGACGGAGTACGGAGTAGTACTTGATGATATGCGCTCCGATGCGCGGCTCGTGTCGGGACGCGTTGAGCCTACATACTGTAGTAAGGAAGCGGCCGTGATTGGCTCCCCAGCCTATCCCGGACAATCTATATCTCCGACGCGGAATGACGCTAGGCCGGAACGACGCATTTCCACATTCGGAATTCTTCCTACAGTCCATGAAGTTCCATGACTGACCACAGGTTGAGAGACTCTACCTTGCCTTTGCTTCGTCCCTTCCTGAGATAGGAGAATCGGTTGACAAGCAATTGCCTCGCTCCGGCTCCTCCGGTTCCTCCAGCCGCCCTCCAGCTCGCTCCAGCTCCTCCACTACCCCACGATAACGCTTCCCCAACAAAAACACCTCTTCCGGTTGAATCCGCCGACCTACACAAACCCAGCAACCTTCACACACACACAATCGCCCACGAGATAGGTACACTACAGAAGCAAAATGGCCACCCGAGATCCAGGCGAGGTCGCTGCCGATGCCCTCAACGACTTCTTCAGCCAAATCTACGCCTTCTGTGAAACCATCTTTACCCGCTTCTTTGGTAACCTCTATGCCTCCTTCGCCGATGTGAGCATCAACCGTTGGACAAAGGTCATTTGCTCCGTGATCGGATACCTTCTCCTCCGGCCGTACATCGAGAAATTCTTCAAGAAGATGCACGACCGGGAACGCAAAAAGATCAAGGAGAAGGAAGAGGCCAAGAAAAACGAGAAGAAGAAGGCCAAGATATCGGCCAATGCACTCCGCGGTGGCGGTGGTCGGGTTCTGGGAGAGGTGGAGAACACAGACGATGAGATCGAAGATGGAGAGGACTTTGCGACGGCGAGTGGGGTGCCTGAGTGGGGGAAGAATGCCAGGAAGAGGCAGAAGAAGTACATGAAGAGTCTGGAGAAGGAGGCCGAGAACCGCACGCACAATCTGTCGGAGGAACAGCTCATGGAGTTGTTGGATTGGAGTGACTCCGAGAATGAGAAGGCTGCGGGTAAGAAGGAGTAGGTTAAGTCTGCCCTCTTTGCCTCGTGATGTGGGCTGGTAATATACTGGGGCTTTGGGCTGGTTCTTCTGAGAATGTATTATCACCATATGGGGTTCTTTAATGTAGTTAGATGTATGACAAGCATTAAGGCAGTGTCTTTAGCGCTGCTTCTACCTGACAACACAGGCTCAGGTTTCTGAGTAACTGTACGGTTGGCAGTGTTTAATAATATGAATAATAGATATTAAGGCATAAACAGTATAGCTTTATCTCCTTTCTTTCTGTACTGAATAGAATGTCGTTGGTATGTTCACCTGGTGGCATAGGAGATAGCAGGCAGAAAGGAAGATGCTAGTAATAGTAAAATCCTAATTCGGACCTCAAACATCTGGTTCGGGACTCTATAGAATGATCATACCTGAGACAAAAGACTTCTAGCGAGTCTGTCATCCGACCTAAATGGCATTTTAACATTGAGAGCCTTGATAGTCGACTGAAGTATACGTACTACAAATCGAACGCATTTCACCTTGTGTATAAGCACTGCATAAGTGCTATGAATGTCCAAGGTAGCATAGGAAGATTATCTGACTGTGTCGGTGGGCAAAGTAGGACGATCAATACACATCCTTGTGATACACTTCCGATACAGCGCCTGGTACAATTACCGATACTGTTTCGATACAGACAACCACATCCTCTTGAGGGGGTAAAGTGTGCTTTCTCTCGGCATCGGTTTGTGGTCAAGTCAGACCAAGATGGGTTGAGATCGACAGATTACTATTAGGTAGGAGAATTTTTATGCTGACAAGTTGAATCATATCTTGAACAGACTATAGGTGTGCTGAGATGGTACTGACGCAGAGCAAATGCCCTCGACGAACATGCAATGCAGCCATGCAGACTATACATAATACATGGATTCTGTTTTCCATAGCCAAATAGAGATTGATCATGCATTCAGCTGCGCAAGTCTCATCTGTATTGAGCTGTGATATCTGAGGATGAAAACTACCTACCTAGCGCATTTGCCTCATCAATAACGAGGGAAGATTTCTGGTTCAAATGCTAAAAGCTCTATGACTGGATTGCCTCACACGTGCCCCACATGGCCCAGACATTGAGGCAAGTGCATTTGCCCGATGGCTGCTATGGCCTGCTGTACCCGGAAACCTGACGGAACGCCTCGGTCCCTAACAGCATCCCAACTGCAGATGCCAGACTCACTGACAATAATCCGGCAGTTCTCGTCCCGACGCGACATAATTCCGATATCTTAGATTGAATCATACTATCTTTTATAGGGCGTATATCTCTAGAGTGTCTTTGACACGATTCTGACTTTCCTGAAATTGACTTGGTCGGCGCGGTGCTTAGTGCTCTGTTAGCCTACTGATAGAAATGGTACGTCCGCTGCATCATTATCATTAGCGGTGACGTTTAGCTTCTTACGCTGGTTTAGCCTCAACCCTTGAGAGTCCTAAAACCCAAGATTTTGCTGGCCTGTAGCCGGTGTCGTGAGCGAAAGATCCGCTGCGACGGCATTGAGCCCATCTGTGGGCAATGCAAAAGACGGGACACCCCGTGTTCCTACCCCAGCGACTCCTATGCCAGGAAGATCCAGAGCAATCAGTAAGTTAGTTTTTACAATAACCGGTTTGTTCTAGTTTACCCGACGGCTGACCATTTCAGAATTATGCACCAGTCTCAAGTCACCCTTGTTGGAGCCGGGACTGCAAATATCAATCATCTTCCCGCGCTAGAAAATCCAAATGCTTCGTCGAGGCCTTCTGATAACAGGCTGAGAGCCTTGGATAGAAATAATGACTGTTCTACTCAATCAGATGGTGATAGTACTGACCTTGAGATTATATTCTTTGAAGGGGATGGCCCATCCGCCACTCAAGACACCCAAAGAAAGGATGGCAGGAGCAAGGCGCCTGGTGCTTCTAAATCAAGGCCACCTTCAAAACAAAAAAGCCCAGCAGGGAACCAAATCCGAATTACTGCAATGGGAATAACTTCTGACGGACCATTTGCTGAGTCAGAAAGCGAAGACGAATTCTTTGGTGACTCTTCTGTCGCCTCTTTCTTGAAACAGATTAAAGAGTCCGCAAAGGAACCTGGACCGGCAGAACCAACAAATACCATCCTGCATGCAAGTTCTAGCACATGCCCAACTTCCTGGCCAACAGTGGCCGAGGCACCCAATTCAAGGGACGAAAAGCATGATCTACCACCCCAACAATTAGCTGGCTATCTCCTCAACTGTTATTTCGACAAAATCCACAGCTTGTATCCATTCGTTCATAAACCGAGCTTTCTTCGCATGTACAGGAACCTATGGACGCCGGAGGCGTGGCTGATCCCCTCGTCCGGGATGGGTCTAGGAGATCCAAGTGTATCTTCTTCGATGTTCCACTGCGCGTTGAACATAATCTTTGCTTTAGGATGCCAATTTTCCAAGCTAGACCATACAGCGCGCGAAGCCACTTCTGAGGAGTTCTTTCAACGCTCACAATCGCTTCTGAACGTCATCTCCCTTGATAAAGGAGATCTAGCCCTTGTGCAGACATTGCTTTTGACTTCACAATATTTGCAGGGAGGCAAGTCTCCTTCGAGATGTTGGAACATAATAGGCCTTGCTTGCAGAGTGGCGCAATCTCTTGGAATGCATTCCCTCAAAGCCGATAAGAATAGGACACCGGCTCAAATACAGATGAGACGGCGCGTTTGGCATGGATGTGTAATGCTAGATCTGTAGGTATTTCTGCCTCTTATTTGACAACTTACTGACAGTAAACTCAAGAGCAAGCAGTATGATGCTGGGTCGCCCTCCCATGACTCATGCCTCCGCAGTGCCTCTTCCAGAAGCTGTTAATGATGAACATCTCGGTTCGAGTGTTGAACACGACCGATCAGAACCAGAGACACTGTCACGGACTGAGTTTTATGTCCGGACTTTGCAGTTGTATAAGATATTAAGGAGAATCCTATCTGAAGTTTATGAACCTTGGGAGGATTCTGGACAATCCGAGCGGATAAAGTCGAGTAATAATCAGGCTCAGATTTTGCTAGATCTAGAAGAGGAGCTTTCGGTGTTTGAGACAAGTCTTCCAGCGGCGTTGCAATGGAATGACGCTCACGGATCTGCGGGGCTCGCTGAACCCTTTCGCCGTGAAAGTAGTTTATTGAGGGGAAGGTAGGTGCTTTGCGCATATGTTTCAGTTATCAATCGCTGAAATCTCTTACAGGTTCCTTCACTTGAGGATTCTGCTTCTGCGTCCCACTCTTGTCAAGTTTTGTCGGGAAAATTGCCCTCCACGTCACCCAGACAACTCCTCCGCGGGTGCAGAGCCAAAACGCAATATTATCTCGGACTTAAGCCTCAGCTGCTCAATTTCCTGTGTCGCGGCTGCGATTGAGCTGTCGCACCTTATGAATGTCATTTCCAGGACTGAATTGGCCAGTGTATGGTGGTATAGTGTCTTTTGTATGTGCCTATCCCACACTATTGAATGGAAACCCCGTTAATTTTAGCCATTAGATACCTTTACAGCTGGGGTTGTCCTCGTGTTGGCACAGACATGCCCCGCTATGGAATCTATCTTCTCCAAGGAGGTTTTGAGGGTTGCTTGGGAAAGCTGCTTCAACTGTCTAGCTAATATGGATTCGTACAGCAACACTGCCAAGAATTGCGCCAGTAGTCTCCAAAAGATATTATGCCATTTGCTAGATGAAGGCGATCGTGAATCATGCCCCCTTGACAATACCGCCGAACAAGTTCCAGCTCCACCTACAAGTGTACCTGTGGGCCATGACACACCATTGTCTGTCATACCGACTTCCTTCCCAACCCTCTCCGAAGCAGATGTTGGCGCCAATCAAGAACCTCCTGCCGGGTTTCCCTCTGAGGCACTTGGGCCTTTCTGGAATGGACAAGATTTTGATGGCTCGTTGATGGACATGCTGTGGGATGATCTTTGGCTGACATCACCGTCGTTCTTATGATATTCATCCCACGGGGGTGTTGTTTTGACTCTGAGAGATTTATTCGTCCATGAACACTCCGTAAATGATTTTTGTTTATCTTGAGACTGTTCTCTTATCTTTTACTCGAGTTTTGTTATTTTGGCCAGTCGCTTTCAAGTCCCCAGACGCATGTTTCGATACCATTGGATTTGATTTCTTGCGAATGTCAATTTTCGGGCAGGTGAGCACTCACATAGCCCACGGTATCTTTCCAACTATCTTAACTGAACCAGACGTATTCAGTCGTCTATAGGAGACGCCACTTTGAACCACCAGGGAAGGATGGAAAGGACCAAGGTTCAAGCTACCCGAACCTACCGAGAAAGGGGCCGGCATACCGACTTGCACCCGGCCCGATTACACCAGGCAAAAAATACAACCCACAGCGGACAGTAGCCGTTTTGCCTGGGTGGGTATCCCTTGAAAATGTTTATTCTTCTGCCAGATACTCCACTCAGGTCTGATACCCTCCGATACGTTACGCGTACTTCTCCCACAGATACATGTTGCTGTTGTGTAACACGACAAAGCCCGTGGACCTATGGTTTCTGGTGCAGTCTTTCGTATAGTTTCTCCTTACCGGCGTTCTGGAATGCCGTAATGCGCCAACTCACCAGGCCACTCAGGCCAGGTATAAAAGGGCAGCCGTTGCCAACCTCGAGAACACTTCCATCGATATAACCACAGCATTCAATCTGCGCTATTCTCCTTTACTACACAGTTCAACATGGCTGATGTTATCAAGACCGATGTATTCATCTGTGGCGGTGGGCCTGTTGGCCTGCTCATCGCCTATGGCCTTGCAAGACAGGGTGTAGACTCCATTCTTGTTGGTGAGAAAGACTTCTCTTTTCCTCACTCCTTTTTCAAGAGCCCTTGAATAACCGATTACATCAGAACAACATGACAAATCTCAGCAAGCCATGTATGGCCGCGCAACAACCCTATACCCCCGCACCCTGGAGCTGCTGGATCAACTGGGGTTGTTGGATGACCTGAATCAGATTGGGTATGTTGCTCGCAACAGTGTGACGTATAATGGAGACAAGCGTGTGACTTCACGTGGCTGGCATGTCATGTTCCAGCGCATGCACGGGACATACCTGGACTATTGTCTTAATATTCGCCAGAAGTTCTCGGAAGAGGTAATTCGCGATGCGTATGAGGTGCTCCGGGGGAAGCCATATATTGGATGGAAACTAGAGGGCTTTTCTGTTGATGAAGATCCTTGTGATGATGATTACAAGGTGACCTCGCAGATAACCGAGGTTGCCTCGGGTAGGACTTTGACGGTGAAAAGGTATGTAGCACGTCACTTCCAGATGAAGGATTGCTTATTCTGACTTTTATCCAAAGTAAATACATCGTTGGCGCAGATGGTGGTCATTCTCTTGTGAGACGCTTGGCTGGAATCCCCTTCGAGGGAGACCACACAAACTTCAAATGGGTGCGGATCGATGGACACTTCAAGACTGATATGCCTGACTCTGATGTTGGCTTTGCTTCCATCGAATCCAAAAGTCACGGTAATGTTCTCTGGGTTCAACTGGACCATGGTGTGAAGCGAATCGGATTTGCCATGACAAAGGAAATGCTTGCCAAGTATGGAGACAAGCTCACGCTTGAAGATGCTAAGAAGGAGGCTATCAAGTCCATGGAACCATTTTCGTTGGAGATTGAGTCTATCGAATGGTGGACTCTGTATGGGTGAGTGTTCTTGTCCATCGGTCTCCATACCGTCCTAACCTCAACACAGTATCAACCAGCGGGTGGCTGATTCTTTCTACAACAACGATCGTGTGTTACTGGCAGGCGATGCTTGTCATACGCACTCATCCGGTGCCGCGCAGGGCATGAACACTGGCGTCCACGATGCAGTTAATCTAGCCTGGAAGTTGGGCGGTGTTGCCAAAGGCTGGTATGGCGCCGATATGCTTCGTACTTATGATTCGGAACGGCGCCCAGCAGCGCAGCACCTGATCGGTCTTGACAAAGCCTTCTCGGCTACTATTTCAGGCACCGTGCCCGACGGCTATAAGGATCTCGCTTTAGATGCGAACGAGCTATTCACGAAGATCTTCGATGACACGATTCAGTTCAATATTGGATTGGGAATTCATTACGATGAAAACATCATCAACAAGGACCCCTTGGCGACCATGATATCGGCAGGTTGGAGAGCCCCAGATGCATTGGTCTACGCCCCTGGCTCCAGGCTGCCTACCCGACTGTTCCATCTGACCCGCAACACCGGTGCTTGGTCTGTGATTGTGTTCGCCGGACGGCCAGATAAGACCAAGGACAGCCTCACCCGTGGCGTGGAGGCACTGAAGAACATTAGTGAAACACTTCCTCGCGGCATGCTTCGGTTTCTCACTGTGGTTGCTCAGAGTCCAGCTGGAGGGGACCAGGTCTTTGATATTCCGAAAATTGGCCGATTGTACTATGACTCGGAGCGGTCCGCTCATACTGCCTATACTGTCTCCGATGTCAACGGCACGGTCGTTATTGTCCGTCCTGATGGGATCTTGGGCTACGCGACGCGTCTTGAGGAAATGAGCAGCATTCCTGGCTACTTTGCGGGTTTTGTGACGCCGCAGTGAATATACACTGACAAGTGATTGGTGAATCTCTCATAGATAAGATAGAGGTATTTTGTTCGAACATATGCTCGTTGTCATTCAAAACTGCGGAATATAGATGTCAATAGATTGATAGAATTAACCCAAATTCCAAACATTCTTATTAAAAATCATGCTATCGTAGCCATACATCCCTTCCAGACCTTGATAAAGATACTAGTGTCCATCATGTAGCCCTCTCTTTCTTCATAGATGCTACTAAGTTGCTCCATAGCCTAGCAAGTCTAAGAAACTCAGAAAGCGACCCCTGAATAGTCTAGGCACTCCACTATCTGCATCACTCCCAACAAAATCCTCACTAGAAATGATCAATTACGTCAGAAACAGCACTCTCAATGCCGAAAAACTGCCTCTGTGCCAAGAGAGAGCCCATCGTCCCAATCGAGGGCGGACGTATTTTGCGTCGTTTCGGGTACCGTAAGTTATACCATACGCATCCGAAACATACCACTATCATGTGGGTCCTGGTTTAGAGCTATTGCCCCATTGTTGGGCCTTGTACGGAGTACAGAGTACGGTGTGCTCTTGATCTCTTGCAGATATCTGTGACGTTGAGCGTGGAAGGGATTAGACAACCTTGTTTCCTAGATCGGATTTATCATGCTGATTAATTTGCTTAATGGATAGTCTAGCTTCATATAACTAGCTATGGAGATCACTCATCTCAGACTTCCAAGTACGCTGGACACAGTTAACGTTAAGTATAGTAATAGACTTGAGCATTCTAGACGGGCTCAATTAGTATAATCAGCTCAATTGCTCAATTTAGGAGTAACTATTAGTGATGCCACCAATCTCTTAACTTTTCCTATGATCCTTCAGCACAAACAGCTCTTATGGACTCTATACTTGGAATAACTTACCCCGCAGATCCGACGATCCCCCGCCCCCGCATCCAGCCAGTGACAACTGGCAAGGCAGTGAGGAGGCCATTTTACTCCGTACGGTACTTCCAACCAACTAGTTAATTACATAGATACATACAAGACACAGTAGAGATGGTATTACATAGTGGCAATCACAACCACAATCTATTTAAGAGCTCATCTTTCTACATCTACATTCCCATCTATCTCAAGTATAACCAACCTAAATTTTCTTAGTTAACTCCTGTATACCCACCAATCTACCCATCCTCCTACCACAATGCCCCTTCTACCCAACCTCCCTCAAGAAATCCTACACCATCACAACACCCCAACCACAACCACCCTGCATATCCTCACTCTATCCACCACTCTCCTATCCCTCTCTCTTCTCATCTACATCATCTACACCCGCTTCCTCAACCCAATATCACGCATCCCAGGTCCCTTCTGGGCCAGTATATCCCGACTATGGCTTGTCCGTCGCTCCGATAAAGGCCACATGCATCGAGAATTCATCGATCTTCATACCAAGTATGGGAAGTTGGTCAGGATCGGGCCGAATGAAGTGAGTGTGGCGGATTTGGATGCCATTTTGAAGATTTATGGTATGTTAAATCCCGTGAATTGGTCTAGGTTTCAGTGAGAGTAGTGTCTGAAGTGGTTAGGCTGATGTTTGTTTGGTTGGTGGTAGGAGCTGGGTCGAAGTTTAGGAAGAGTGATTGGTATAGTGAGTCCCTCACACCCATTGCATAAATCAATTGCAGATGCTATACTCAAGAACTAAGCTAAGAAGAAAAAAAGGCGTCTGGCAAGGCCATCGCACATTCGATCTCTTTGCAGAACGCAACGAGATAATCCACGGTGCTCAACGACGACTCGTCAACAACGTTTACTCAATGAGTAGTCTGAAAGATTTCGAATCCGGGGTAGATACAGTCATCGAGCAATTCATGCAATGCATGGCACGGCAGGGGCCTGAAGCGATTGTTGATATGGGGAAGTGGATGCAGTTGTTTGCTTTTGGTGAGCCCTCCCACCCCCTCGTTCTCAAGGTTACTAATGGGTGAGTTTAATAGATATCATCGGCGAAATCACCTTCTCCAAACCATTTAACTTCCTCGAGACCGGCACAGACGGTAGTGCATTCCAACAAATTGAGAACGCACTTCGCTCGGCCGCCTGGGTGGGCCAAGTCCCCTGGCTATACTGGGTTCATGATTACTTGAGTCCTCTCATTGGCAGCCACCTAGCAATCACAGCACGTCACGGCACGATTCGTCAGATCGCAGCTCGCGAAGTAACCGATCGCAAAGAGAAAACTCAGCACAATGGAGAAAAACATGACCTACTATCCAAACTCTTCGACGTGCAAAATAAAAAAGAAAAGCAACTGTCCGACAACGATGTCCTTTCCATGGCCGCGTCGAATGTATTTGCTGGATCGGATACCACTGCTATTTCGCTCCGATCGATTATTTACTATCTGTTGAAAAACCCAACGTGTTTATCCAACCTGAGAGACGAGATCGAAGATCGGAAACGCCAGGGCAGATTCTCGGATCCGGTCAAGTTGGACGAGGCGAATGATATGCCGTATCTTCAAGCGTGTATGTATGAAGCGTTGAGGTTGCATCCGGCTGTGGGGATGAATTTGCCGCGGGTGGTTCCGAAGGAGGGGATTGTCATAGATGGGTGTTTTTTGCCGGGGGGAGTAAGTCGAATCCCAATCGTCTATGACATTGAATGTCGCTAACCTTATGGACTATACAGACAACAGTAGGCGTCAACCCCTGGGTCATCCACCGAGACCCAAGTGTATTCGACGACGACGTCGAAGCCTTTCGACCTGAACGATGGTTGACTGAGAAGACCGGCGATATGAGTACGCTTCAGCCCCATTACCTCACAGCCCCAGAAACTAATACTATACACAGAAAGATATTTCTTCGCCTTCGGCGGCGGCGCTCGACTCTGTATTGGAAAAAGTACGTCTCCTAGAACCCCAAACCACCCCAGTTTGACAACTGACACCTCCTCAGATATCAGCTGGATGGAAATGAGCAAGGTAAATACACCAATCTGGCTACTCATACCTCAGTACATGTTAACAAGTAAATAGATGATCCCGACCCTCCTGAACCGATTCGAGATACAGCTTGCGGAACCAGACGCGGAGTGGAAGGAGACGTGTTGGTATGTTATCCCCCCGCCTTTACATTCGGGGATAGAAGGAAATATACCTGGCTACTAGTGTTTTTGATTAAGACGATGGTAAATGTGACTGATAACTTTCTAGGTGGTTCGTCAAACAAGAAGGGGTGATGGTTAAGCTTCGTCCTCGGTCGTGATCCAGACGATTGTTTAGATTTAGAAAAAGACATTGGATTAGATATTGTGAGAAGATATTGGCTCTGTCTAGGTAGTGCTTTACCTGAAGATTGGGTAGATAGTTGTTTAGGAATGATTACGACCATGTAAACGTTTCTTATTTGAACTTGGTATCCCGCTCGACATTACTTGATCGACCAAGAACAAGTGTATGAATAATCTATAGGTCAAACATAAGCAGGAATGTCTATCAACAGTATGTGAGTCTGTAGAGAAGGTCTAAGTTACACCGGAGAAGAGTCATTTGAGAACCTCAAGGCGTCTCTCCTTCATTGTTCAGAGAAATATTAGTTTACGAGTATAGAGCGTGGGTGTTAAACCTTCCTATTGGCTCTGCTGGCTTGAGTAATTATAGAAGAGAGATGTCATCTAGAGATGCGGATTGTAGCTACAAGATGTGGGCTATGCTTCGACGCAGGAACAGGAAGCCCCCAACGTAGGCTCAGTAGATGAGGTATTGCGAAAGACATGTAGGTGGAGGAATACAGGTCAATAAATGCACAAGGGGACCATGAACAGAATTCACATGAAGATGAGGATGCTGGGACGAGTACTACAGATCCGTTGCTCAAACAGTCGGAATGATAGAGCGATCGCGATTTCAGAAATAGGCCCCAATGACTTGTCCTGGAGCAGTCATTGCCCAGGACAGGAGTTCACATATATCATATTGTGGATAATCTCGTACCAGCGAGATGACCCTCATTGCGAGCGGTCTTGCAGCCACTTGTATACCACGGAAAAGTCCTTACCCTTATGTTCCTCCTCGACAGCATTGTACACCCCACGAGCAATTTCTCCGAGCTCCAAAGGTGTTTGCGACTCCTCCGCAGCTGTAATAGCCAAACGAAGATCTTTGTTCATCAAGCTCACGCCAAACCCTCCTTCGTATCCACGAGACGCCGGTGCTGTCTCAACCACGCCAGGCACAGGGTTGTTGATTTCCATGGGCCAGCACCGACCGGTAGACGAGTTGACAAGCTCGGCCAAGGCCTTGGGGTCCAAGCCCCAGCGAATCCCAAGGTTCATCGCTTCCGCTGTCGCAATGTTACTGATAGCCAGAATGTAATTATTGGCGAGTTTGCCCGCAACACCAGCTCCCGGAGCGCCCATGTGCCACGCCTTCTTCCCCATCAGAAGCAACACCGCTCGTACCCGATCAAGAAGTTGGCCCGTTTGCGAAGATGCCCCGAACATGAACGACAGTGTCCCAGCACGGGCGCCCACCACACCGCCCGAAACCGGTGCGTCAACAAAGTGCCCTTGGCACGTTGTGTGTATCGCGTTTGCAATCTCCTTAGATGACGCCGGGTCGATTGTGGAGGTATCGATGAACAGACGCTCTTGATCCAAGGCGGGAAGATCGCCTTGCCGGAGAATCGAGTGGAAAACGTCCTTGACGTGCTGAGGGCCCGGGAGGCTGGTAATGATCACGCTCTGGAGAGTAAATCATCAAAATTGGAACCCGGGACAGGCAGACATATCACGGGGTTTAGTGACAGTAAGTAGGACTCCAATAATAAAGCCTATCCAGTCCCAGGGAGTGGATACCACGTCGTTCCTGCTATAGAGCGGGGAGAAATTCCGAATAAACTCCACTTACCGACTTCTCTGCAAGTTCTCTAGCAGACTGGGCCACCAGGACCTCGGAGGTCCCAACACCAGCGCCGCTGCTCCTAGCAGTTTCACTAGCCTCCTTCACAAACCTGGCCATGCTATCTTCGTTCACATCGCGTATTAACAAAGTATCCGTCTCGGGGATCTTGGCGCGGAGGTTCTTGGCCATGTTGTAGCCTGTGGAGCCGAGGAATCTAATTAGACAATGGTTCACGACGAGGCTTTCTTTCCAATGGCTCGTGAGACACTCACCCATTTGGCCTAGTCCTATAAAGCCCCAGGTAGCATCCCGTTGCACCGAGGTTGAAAAGGTTCTTCCAGAACGGGGTGCAAAGCGGAGAGCCGAGGGGATAGTATTGGACATGGGAACCCTTCGCAATGGAAGGGATCGGACACGCGAGAAACTCATGCTCACAATCGAGGTACGCTACCCAATTAGGAGAAGATGACTTATGGTGTGACGCAAGATGGTAGGGAACACGAGGACCCGAATGACGGTAGCAAGGGATGGTATTTGTAGGGACAGCATGGTGGCCCGAGGGGGCAGGAGGGGTTACGACTGACGAACTCCGCAGGCCGGTGCTTTCCGCCTCTTTCCATCCGCCAGGGATCGGCCCCCCAATCCCCCAATGCGGGGAAGCTCCATCCGCTAAGGCTGCGGAGCCTCCAACCGGCGCCTCTCGGGCGGCCCGCCTGGACCATCAGGCATCCACGTATCAAATGCGGAGTATTGACTATGACTATAGTATACGGCATCTTGTCTTTATTGAGAGAGCAATTAATTATTCTACAGGACACAAGCTAGTAGGCAACAAAATGAGGCACAAGAATCGCGCACATAACGCAGATCAGAAGAAGCATCGACAAATGGGTATGTTAAACGCCATATCACACCAAGTACCAAATGGCATCGCGAAAGCAAAAGGTCAGCCAGGGACGGGGTGGCGGACAACCCCGTCACTGCTGCGCCGGGGACGAGGGATTGCTGACCGACCCCGTGAGATACTCAACAGGTACCTTAGGTACGCGCGGTGAGCTGGCCGTCTGGACGAGCGCCCGCTGTTGAGCTCGAACCAGATCTCGCTGCCTCTCCTTTTCCCGATTCGTAGCTGCTCCGCCCGTGAGCCGCCTCATGCCGCTACGGATCATCGACTCCAGCGATGACGACCCGTCCGTGGCACTGCGCGTTTGGCTGTGGGGATGGGCCATGGGTGGCTTGTGGTCAGCAAGCCCGTCCTCCACTTCATCGTCCGACAGGAACGCCGACTCGAACCCGATAAGGGGCGTCGTATGTTGTACATTGGATCCCGGCGTCGAGAATAGATGATTCACCGGGGACGTCACAGAGCGGGTATGAGACACCGGCCGCACATTCTGGCTAGGAGCTTGAGGCGTAAATGTGCCAGGGGAAGGCGTTCCCGCGCTGTCCAAGCGCAGGTTGGACGGACGTGACTCTGCAAGTCCATTGTGGAAAGACGACGTGGAAGCGGTCCTGGCAAGGGATTTGCGGAGGATCGGCGCGGTTTGCTGATCGTAAAGACTAGCGCTGGTATCCGCATAGGTGCCTGTAAAGCCGCGCAGTGTTGCATCCGAGTCCAGTGTGGAATGGACCGGGTCGGTTTCTTCGAAGAAATCGTCCAGACTGTCCAGCTTCTGGACAATGTCCCCCATGTTGCCATCGGTTTGAGTATCGATGGACTTCATCGTGTCCGCCCGCATGGGGAAGAACGTGTCATTGTACTCGTCGGCATGGAATTCCACGTCAGTGGGGGCGGTCTCCTGCGCCTCCATGCAGTCGACTTCAGCACAGGTGTAAAACACCGCATGGACATTATGCCGCGTGATGCTGGATTGTGTCGCAGGCATCGGTATCGACCACCCGGTCGGCTCAGGTATGCCATACAAACTCTGAACACGTTCGTACTCTTTGCGGATAGCCCGAGACGAAGAAGCCGAGGCCATGCTCATCCGAATGTGATGTCTCTCCATGGGATTGGTCGAGACCGTCATAATGTGGTCCATCACCTGCAGAGCCTGAGGGCAAAGATCCGTTTGTAACAGTCGCAGGAGAGGAGAGATCAGATCAGGACCATGACACGTCACTTCGCTTCGACGCATGTCCATATCGGGCAATAACACGCAGAGGATTTTCATGACCTTGACGCGGAACCAGTTCGTTGTGTTGGTCAATAAGCCCATGAGGAAAATGAGACTCTGAACGTCCTGGCGCGGGAAGTAATAGGACCGAATCTCGGTGATGATATGGCTCAGAAAATCGCTCTCCGCTTTGTATTGCCCATTGGCGAAACCGAGCAAGGAAGCTGCCAGTCGTGGGCATCTCTCGCTTTCAGCGACACGTGCCAGCAATGTAGCACGTGCTAGGGTCTTGGGATCGTCGACCTCCGAGTCAAAATGGTGCAAGAAGTGAGGCACGTTCGCCAGTATCGTATATAGCAACCGATTGCCATCTCCAATGAGCTCATTGTTGGGTAGACCGCTTAGGCGGTGTAAGATATCCAATGTTTGATTGAGTGATTCAGAAGACTTCAAGCCCTTGTAGATCAAGTCTTGCAGACCGTCAAAACCACCCTCCCACTTTGGCGGCTGGCCTTTGACAAGTTCCGTCACCACCATGGGATCGCTCATGTCGACACGATCCAGGAATTTCTCAAGCATGCCAATGCTCTCGATAAACTCGGTTTCGTGGATAGTATTCAAGCATGCGCACGTAGTCCAGAACAGCTGCGGGTATCGAAGCAAATCGGTTGGTGCCAATGAGCTAATGATAATTTTAAGTGTTGTCAGGATCTCCATTGAGAATGTTCGATAGTCCGACTCCTCATCCGCAATGGTATTCGAGAGACGAGCCAGCATATCGGCCAGCATCCGGGAGTCCAGGGACATGGATATGCAACGGAACACCTGGAATGATCGACAAGCAAGATGCCGAACGGGGCAAGACGTCGCCCAGTTCAATGCCTCTTTCGCCCATAGGTCGTTCAGGCCCTCATACCCAAGGCTGAAGAAATCGACCACTTTGCGGGTGACCGAAGCCATCGACGACGGGACGCGACTGCCATCTTCCTCGTCATCCTTCTCACTGATATCTTCATATTCCCACACTACCTTTGGGTCACTCTTGCGGATTGATTCCACAAAGTCTTCAATGGACTGGCGTGTTTCCATAGCCGCGTCATCTTCAACCTTGGCCGCAATCAACTCGTGGATAAGATGGACCAGCATTTCCCTGGCCTGTTCTTGTACGGTGAGTGTATAATGGTCCCAGAGGATGAGGACAACATGAAGTAATTTCACCAAATCGTCCATGGTAAGTGTCACCGGTGAAACCATTAGGTCCACGAGGAAGATTAGCGCGACTTGACCGAGAGACAGGCCAGCCTGTTTATTGCCAACTGGGAGTACAGTTCCGAGATCTGCGACATAAGGTAGGCCTCTGGTATCGGGCGGAGCTGGCGTGATTTCTTTCCTCTCTTGTACCATGTGCTTAGGCACAACCTGCAACAAAAAGAACTCAATAACCTTGGAGCCAGCGGGCGTGCCCGCCAGAAACACAACCACTTGTTTGGCGTAATCCACAAAATTTTGTTCTTTCCGCTCCAGGCAAAGGCTGATAATGAAGTCGAGCACCAATTGCACGTTCCCGCCATGCGGGCCGGTGGCCAAAGCTTGCCAAAGGGCTTGGACTTCGTTCGGCAGAATAGTACTGCACCTGATTGTGATCTCAAAGAGATTGGCCAGAAGCATGTATGACTTTGCAGTCGGCCCCCCGTTGGGGTCGACCTGAAGCTCCATTGTCTGGACCCATGGAAGGATGGCCGCTACCATATTCCGCTGGCTATCAGGTCGCAAATTTCGGAAGTGCAATGAGAATTCAGAGAAAAGAGTAAAAGCCAGGTCGGAATGTTGTTTTGCCAATCGTTTCGACGTCTCGAACTGAGCAAGCTTGTAGACGGCGGTAGTCTTGTCAGAAATGCTGATATCGAAGTCCTGTAGCCGGGAACTCTTCTGTTGCCGCTCTTCCAATATCCGCAGCAGCTTCGCAGACTTCATTCTTATCTCCCGTTTGGGGCTGCCAAGGGTCACAAGCACAGCGCCCAAAATCCTCCAAAAGCCAAGCGGATAATCCGTGTGCTCGATGAGCACTTCTGTTACCACTTCAAAGTAACTCTCCAAAGCCTTTGGCCGCTCTGTGACATAGCACATCTCAATCGACCGCTCTAACAGGTACGAGTGCTCCTTATTATGAATAATTAGATTCTTAAGGGCTCGTCTACCAATAGCGTGCCACTTGTCGCTGATTGTATTGAAAATGATATCGATCCAAGACAGCATTCGGCCCACATCGAACTGAAGTACCGAACCGCTCTCTGTTGTGATGCTGATTGGGCCAGCCTGTAAGAGTCAGTTGTCATTCCTAGCAATGGAAGTTGTAGATGACTTACACACAAGGAGGCCATTGCGCTGAGGGCTGCCGCACGCAGATTCTTCTTCTCTATCTCCATGGCTGCAGCGGTATTTCGCAATTCCCCAGACTCATGGTTCTGTGAGATGGCATTCCTCCGCATAGTCTCCTCACGCTGCGAGATTTGGGACTGATTTGGTGAGTAGCCGCACCAGTCCTCCATTAGAGAGAAAGCTGACTTTCTTGACTCGAAGGGTATCCAACGAGAGGGGTCTTTAGTACGATTGACTCCCTCAAAAAGCTCCTCCATCAGTCCGCAGTAATGAAAGCGCAGCCGTTGGAACTCCCAGTCATTTTGTACCTCAGCGTCGCTCAAAAATATGCGCAGGTCCTTTGCGTAGGTGACAAGGTTGTTGACGATCCAATCATCGTTATATACCTCAGGTTCTTTGAGAAAGTGTGATGTTAGTTTATACACATGAGTGACCTCGGTTCGCAGCCGGTCTGTTCTGCGATTGCGCCTCGGGCTGCTCGGCGTACGATAATGTGTACCGATTCGAACCTTGGCTTCTTCGTTGCAAGTTGTGACGGCATACTGTAGGGATTCAAGTAGAGTCCGATACAGGTTCTTGTTGATCGATCCCAAAGCAACCACTATAGCGTTCCGGATGGAAGCTCGCTCAGCTGATAGCAACGGGATCACAAATGCAAAGAGACTTCTGGCGGAGCTGATTTTATCCTGAGACTGCTGGGCACCTTTTGACCCTTTCCGCGCGTGCTGAGCGTTTGCCAACTGGCTCTGGGATTGCGCACCAACGCTGTTGAGAGTGGTGCAAGCCATGACCAAATACAGTTTCCACTGCTCAATCAATATCTCAGCAGTCGTATTGCTTCTGCCATACGAGCGGGCTTGGATCGCGTCTATGGGACCATATTGAGGA